CACACACACACACACAGCCACACAGAGGCACACACAGGCACACACGGACACACACACACACAGGCACACACAGGCACACATGGACACACACACAGAGGCACACACAGGCACACACGGACACACACACATACATATAATTAAAAAGTATAAGTATTGAAAATACTGTTTATTTATTTTAGGTTAGGTTGACACACAAAGTGATGTATTTCATAGACATTTTCATGCATATATATCCTTGTGTTTCTTTTTTTTTTTTTCAAGACTTATTTTATGCATTTGAGTGCTCTACACCTTCACGCCAGAAGAGGGCACCAGATCCCATTACAGATAGTTGTTAGTCACCGTGTGGTTCCTGGGACTTGAACTCAGGACCTCTGGAAGAGCAGCCAGTGCTCTTAACTGCTGAGCCATCTCTCCAGGCCCATGTTTTTATTCTTCTTCATCCCTCTCCTTTGTCTCAGTCTTCTCCCATCTTCTCCAGTCCTCTTCCCCATCCAATAGTCCTCCCTTCTGCTTTTTGTCAGAAACAACTGAACTGAAAACGGAGCTGGTCACATTAAGTGAAACACGCTAGGCCCACCGAGACAGTGTCACATTCATTCTTTCTTACGTGGGGTCAAGGAAGAAAAACAGCCCGAAGGAGGGCCAATCAGCGATGTCATATTCCTTATCTTCCTGGTTGCTGTGACGAACTACCGGATGGAAACAACTCAAGGGAGAACATTTTTATCGCCTTCACAGTTTCAGTCCATCATGGCCTGGTGTGGAGGTGGCAGTGGGAGCGTGTGCTGGATGGAGGCTTTTCTCATCTCTCAGGGAGCTTGGGATGGAACAAGAAGCAGGCCGTCTTAAATTTCATTTCCCATTAGGCTGTGATAAAACACACCTACAAAGCCCAGGCCTGGCAGTGCACACCTTTAACTCCAGCAAGCCAGAGGTGGAAGCAGGTGGATCTCCACGAGTTCAAGGCCAGCTTAGTCTATATAGTGAGTTCCAGCACAGCCGGGCCTACACTGTGAGACCCCATTTCAAAACAAAGGCAAAAACAACCCAAATGCAATTTGATAGGCTTTATTTGACTCACAATTCCAGCTTAAAGTCCAGCATTGACAGGACACCAAGGCAACAGACACTTGAAGCAGCTGCTCACATTGCTTTCATGGTCAAGAGCAGAAAGTAATGAATTGATGCATGCATGCTAATACTCAGCTTCTTTACTCTCAGAAAATTTGGGGGACCCAAGAAGTGGTGTAATCCAAATTCAGAGTAGGTCTTCCCACCATAATTAAACCCAGTTAAGAAAATCTTCCACAGGGCTGGAGAGATGGCTCAGAGGTTAAGAGCACTGACTGCTCTTCCAGAGGTCTTGAGTTCAATCAATTCCCAGCAACCACATGATGGCTTATGACAATCTGTAATAAGATCTTGTGCCCTCTTCTGGCCTGCAGTCATACATGCTATATACATAATAAATAAGTAAATCTAGAGAGAGAGAGAGAGAGAGAGAGAGAGAGAGAGAGAGAAAAGAAAAAGAAAAAGAAAATCTTCCACAGACATGAGACATGACCACAGGCCAACTTAATGTAGACAGCTCCTCATTAACACACCCAGGTGATTCTAAATTGTGTCAGGTTGACAGTGACAGTCAAGACCACCCATCACACAACTATAAACCTCAAAATGTACTGTCTGTGACCCACTTACACAGTCATGCCATCTGTCCCAAAGGGTGCAGGAGGCCAGGCACATGAGCCTGTGGGGGGCCATTTCACATTCAAACCATTAAAGATGTGGAAGGGGAACAGAGGAAGAAACACTGGGGATGAGAAAGAATAATAGAGCGGTGAAGAGGATCAAAGTTCATTACATGTCTATACTGAACAATCACAACAAACTCTCTTACTATAAACTATTATTTGCCATTGCTACTTTTAAAAAGAATGGATGAAGTATTCACTAAGAATGTATTTGGGGGCTGGAGCAATGGCTCAACAGTTAGGAGCACTGACTACTGTTGGAGAGGACCTTGCTCCGTTTTCCAGCACTCACATGCTGGCTTACCACCGTCAAAACACTCATACACGTGAAAATTAATAAATCTTTAAAAAAAGAATATAAACATATATGTGAGAAACATATAATAAATATAGTGTATATAGAGGCAAATATATAATTTATATAGTCTAGATAACCAACAGTGCCAGAGAAGATTCTCAACATGTATGTTCTTGTTTTGTTCTGTTTTTTTTTGAGACAGTTTCTTTGTGTAGCCCTGGCTGTCCTGGAACTCACTCTGTAGAACAGGTTGGCCTCGAACTCAGAGATCTGCCTGCCTTTGCCTCCAGATGCCTTTGCTGGGATCAAAGGAGTGTGCTGCCACCACCTGGCAACACGTATGTTCTTCTTGTTCTTGTTCTTGTTCTTGTTCTTGTTCTTGTTCTTGTTCTCGTTCTCGTTCTCCTCCTCCTTCTCCTCCTCCTCCTCCTCCTCCTCCTCCTCCTCCTCTTTTATTTATTTAACTTTATTTTATGTGCATTTGGAATGAAGGTGTCTGATCCCCTGCAACTAGAGTTACAGACAGTTGTGAGCTGCTATGTGGTTGCTGGGAATTGAACCTGGGTCCTCTGGAAGAGCAGCCAGGGCTCTTCACCTCTGAGCCATCTCTCCAACCCTAACACATATGGTCTTAAGAAAATGCAAACTGTGGCTGGGGGTGGTGACACATGCTGTTAATCCCAGCACTGGGAGGAAGAGACAGATGGATGTCTGTGAGTTCAAGGCCAGCCTGGTTCTAGGACAGCCAGGGCTACATAGTAGAGAGACCCTGTCTCAAAAACAT